GGTACATCATAAAGAAAAAAGTGACAAATGCAGGTGACTGTGGGCCCACCAGCCTTGAAAACTCTACATTTAATTTCATGATATCAATGCAGCCGTCAAGGCTAATCAAGAACCGATGACCGACTTTTTGGTAGCTTTTAAAAAAGCTGTTTGTTTATATGGTAAACCAGGTGGTAAGTGGGAAACATGGCCCTCCTCCACTGATGCCATCTACTTCTTTGACTTTGCAGCCTTCACTTTCTTCCCAGCCGGTGACTTTGCTGTCTTTTTGCTGGCAGCCTTTTTGGGTTTGCTCTTACCAGCAGCTGATGCCTTCTTACCAGCAGCTATTTTAGGCTTCTTTGCCACTTTGGCCTTGGGCTTCTTTGGTGACTTGTTGGCTCCGCTGGCTTTCTTTGGTGTCGAGGCCTTCTTTTTTGCAGGGCTTTTCTTGACTGAAGTTGCAGCCTTCTTAGCAGTAGCCTTTTTCGCCGCTGCTGGCTTTTTCGCAACCTTCTTTGCTGCTGCTGGCTTTTTCACTGCTGCAGGCTTCTTGGCAGCGGCAGGCAGCTTGAACGAACCGGAAGCCCCTACCCCTTTCGTTTGGATGAGAAAGCCAGAAGCGACCAGTTTTTTCAAGGAGGCTTTCAGGTTTCTCTTCAGAGCGCTCTCATCACCGAGACCTTTGTAATTAGATTGTAAATACTTGGCAATTTTCTGTCGCGATGACCCATTTCGCTCCTTCAGAATTCTGATTGCTTCCGCGATCATGTCCTTATACGCAGGATGTGCGGCAGGCTTCTTGGGCGCTGCTGTCTTCTTCGCTTTCTTTGGTGATGTAGCAGACGAATCCATATCACTTTCGAACTAGTGCTCCAACAATAAAATGGTGTGCGACCTTCACAAAGATTCAAATTCAAAATAGCCTACCTTCCGTACGAACCTATAAGCACTTGCAGTTAGGCGCCAAAACACACGTGACCATCAAAATATTAGGCCAACATGGCTGTCAATTTTGTGCTTCTTGTCAAAACCTATTTGCCCGTCTACACCTAGCCGTGGCAAATACGATCTTGGCCGCATTCAAATCAGCAATATTATGGTCTTTAGTTTCATTATTATTCTTTGCCAAGGAGACTTTGGTGCCTATTGCAGCAAAATATTCGATATCAACTTGTATAGCTCAACATGCCATCAAACATTGTTTGATTATTTTCTTTTCCAATCGTCATAAAACCTCCCAGTACACATGCAAGGGCAGGTTTAAAAGGTCCATTAATTGATCGAACCAGCAAATTGCAGTTACCTTTTGTGATGACTATAAAAACGCTTAAATTGGGCCGAATTTGACTGCAAAAAGCACAGCACAATTTTCCCTCAACAAGTTGTTAAGTATTAATTTTTTACCCTTATGTTTGAAACATTGGGTAACGATGGAGGAAAAATTCCTATTCAAAAAGTTCCTTTAGAAAAGGAAGATGATTTATTTAAAGATATAGTTTTCCGGCAACTTTTGTGTCAGTAATAAACTGTGAAAGCTCATGATGAAGGGCAGAGCGGTGGTGGGGATAGGTAGAAAAATTGAAGAAAGAAGGCTGAGAAAATCTGCAAAGAAAACCAGACATCTTTTGAAATTTAGGACGAGCAGACTCTATAATTAGCAAGAAGCAGCCTATTTATTACATTTTCTCTGGCTATACCAACTCTTACCGAGGTGATCAGCGTACACGTCAATATATGAGGGCTGCATGTAGCATGTTTTCAGAACGACCAGATTTGAAAGTGGCCAAAAATATTTTGATTGAAGTAAGCTCGTAAAGAAAGATACATAATAGAAGAGAATTTTTAGAAAAGAAAGATAATTTTTAGCATAATAGAAGCATTAATTGACATAGTAAAGGTACTTGGTGATGTGCCACAAGCAAGAGTATACTGTACTGACTTCTAGTCAAGTTAATACCCTGGAGAGGCAGGAGGGACAGAGGGGGCAAGTAGCGCCGTTGAGTATTTACTCCTAAGAAAATGAAATAAAGTTTTGTAGATAAATGATGACCAGCTTTGCCATTCTCATTGTGTTGATTTCAATTTGAAATACAAAATATGGAAAAATCTCCCTTTTGCTGTCGGTCATCGATTACGGCAAATTTTTTTCAGAAGAGGATAATAAACTTCAAACAGACAATCGAAGTCTTGCAGCCAGCCCCTTCTATTTATAACTGCCATGATTTTTGTACAACCAAAAATATGAATAATGACAAGGCGATTTAATAGCAACTTGCATGGACAATTTTGTCAACAGTATGCCTTTGTGTGGAAGAGCTTTTGATTGCAAAAAACCCCAGCTGTATGGGTCGATGCAATGTTTGTACAGATCCGTGCCAATATTTTAATTTTGCACACCCCTCCCCCCTGCCACCCCCTCAGCCCTAACAATTAATCGATTATGGTAGTGGAAAAATTCAACTATTTGCCTCAGCACCAACACTGCCCCTCCTGCCTTAATCTTTTGCAGGCGCCCCTGGCCAAGGGTGTAAGTCGTATTTGACAGTACTGGTCTAGGGAACTGCCTTTGAAAGTAGGAATCCCATCCTGACAACAACCCATTTTTGCTGAAAATAAACTAGTAAATGAAACTAACCGACCTTTCACATTCCTGAGCTCAAACCAACAATACTGAGATATCTGCTAAATCGAATATTCATTGGTTTGGTATAAGCTTATGGCCGGACAAATTGAAACTTGAATAATTAGAATGAAAACTTCAAAACTTTATATTATATATAAACTTTATATATCTAATAGATCTTACAAAAGATACATAACTTTTTGAGAAAATAGCTCTGGCTTTATTATTTCTACTTATAATATTTTCCATTTTTCATGCAAAAATTTTTCAGGTAAGATTTAATAAACACCACATTAAAAAGGGCTAAATCAGAGATAACTATTGAAAGCCCACAACTGTAAAAAAACAAAGGGGAAAATTTAAAATGCATATTTAAAATAGAATGCATATTGAAAAGAAAACTTTGATAAACGCTCACCAGGAGTAATAAGCATTCACTGGCAGTGTTTTTAATATGGGCCTACTCGTTGGTGTAAGCCCGGGACAGGGGACTTGTGGGGGTATTCTAAATGAGTTTCGTTTCGGTTTATCTGAGTTTCGAATTTCCAATGAATAGATAGCATTTGCCATTGATTGGAATCAGGCATTGAAAAATATTGCAGCATGTTAGGCTGGGGGTTCATTCTATTTGGCGGGGTTTTCACCATTTTGGAAGCCAATGTGGGGGGTTTATTCGTGGCTTTACTGTTCATGAAAAACCAAGAGCCAATGTTAACAAATGACTGTTGAATGTAGAATATTTTAAGAAAATGTTTCATATTTGATATTTTCAGGAAATATTTCATATTTTGAAGGATGTCTTCAAAGAGATGTATTTTTTGAATGTTTACCTACAGAGTTACTAACTTTTTAAATGTGATACTGGTTGAGGGGATGCTGATGAAAATGAGACTCCAACATGCATTAGCCTAAATGTTTTTAAAACTGGATAACTCGGTTGAATAAAGAAGCACAATGCTTATCGTGTGTGTCAAAGGTTTGGGCAACGAGATTGGTAAATTTGGTAGCTTTTAAAAAAGCTGTTTGTTTTCTGGTTGTAGACGACGAGCGAGGATTGTCGTGTTCGTGCGTCCAGCAGTTTACTTGCTGCTTGTGTACTTGGTGACGGCTTTGGTGCCCTCGCTGACAGCATGCTTGGCAAGTTCACCGGGGAGGAGAAGCCTGACGGCGGTCTGGATTTCCTCGAAGTGATCGTTGCCTTCTTGTTGTAGTGGGCGAGACGCGAGGCTTCTTGAGCAATCCTTTCGAAGATGTCGTTGACAAACGAGTTCATGATGCTCATGGCCTTGCTTGAAACGCCGGTATCGGGATGGACTTGCTTAAGTACCTTGTAGATGTAAATCGAGTAGCTCTCCTTGCGCTTTTTCGACCTCTTCTTATCTCCAGAGGCAGCCTTGCCCCCTTTCTTGCCAACTCCTGCTTTCTTCTCCCCCTTCTTGGCAACCTTTGGGGCCTGTTTTCCTCCTTTTGCTGGGGCGTCAGACATCTTGAAGAATGATTTTAAATTTGACTTTTCGAATTTCGAAAGGACCTTCGCTAGATAAAGCAGCAACACTGACTGATCTAGTCTGTTGTTGGTTGGCGCCAATGCAAGTTTTTACTATATTTGTGGGCAACTGGGTCGATTAGCTCGAAGGCCATGTGACACACGTCGATTCGCTGTCTCGTGTTCGCTTATTGTTCGCGGTCGATAGCGGGGGTGTTGATTGGTAGATCTCGAGTAAATGCCCTTTACAAATCGACCACTTTGGCGGGCAATCAGGCAGTTGCGAACAAAGTTGTTCATTCTTCGGCAAGGCTTCATTTCGTTTTTCAATTTGAGTTAAACATGTCTGGACGCGGAAAAGGTGGAAAAGCTAAGGCCAAGGCAAGGTCGAGGACATCCAGAGCTGGTCTTCAGTTCCCAGTCGGACGTATCCATAGATTGTTGAGAAAGGGAAACTACGCTGAACGAGTTGGATCGGGGGCTCCCGTCTATCTTGCAGCCGTACTCGAGTATCTCTCGGCAGAAATCTTGGAGTTGGCTGGCAATGCCGCCAGGGACAACAAGAAGTCAAGAATCATCCCTCGACACTTGCAGCTTGCAATCAGAAACGACGAGGAGCTAAACAAATTGTTGAGTGGAGTGACCATTGCACAAGGTGGTGTCCTGCCCAACATTCAGGCAGTACTCCTACCAAAGAAGACCGAGCAGAAGGCTCCAAAATCATAAAGCCTGGCTGGCTAGTGTTGTTGGCTGGCTTTACCAGTTCGTCGAACGAAAAACGGTTTTTTTAAAAACCACTACGAAAACTAACTTGGTGTACCTGCTTGTGACACACACGATACCTACCCACACCACACACTCTATATTGTTTATAGTAAAGGCCCACTGCATTATGATGCTTCGAATTCATTCAAAGCTACTCACTGTTTAAGCAAGTAGTTTTTATCATTTTATCAATTAGTTTATGTTTCTTCTCGTGTGGTAGGGGTACACTAGCATCCCAATTAATCATGCTCAACAGATGAGCACAAAGAAACCATACTAAACATTCAACAACAATAATCAAGCAGTCAATTAATTAAACCAGCAGCAAGTAATCAATCTCCTAAGAAGGGTTGATTGGTCCTGAGAAGCTATCCTTACACAGTTGAACCAAGATTTAAGGGCAAATAATTATGGTTGAAAATGAAAAAGAATAGACAGAAAAGGAATTATTTTCTTCAATTGATCAAAGTGAAACAACTCTTATTCAAGGGCAAATAATTATGGTTGATAATGAAAAAAGAATAGACAGAAAAGGAATTCTTTTCTTGGCCTGTTGACCGAGCAAAAGGCTCCAAAATCTTAAAGCGTTGTTGACTTTTCTTGTTGGTCCACTACGAACCAGTTCTCCGAACGAAAAACGGTTTTTTTAAAAACCACCACGAAAACTAACTTGGTGTACCTGCTTGTGACACACACGATACCTACCTACACTGGAAATTATATATATAGGCCCACTGACTTAATGATGATAGATGGCTACTGTTGAAACAGGTAGTTTTTATCATAAGATTTATATTTCTTTTGGAGTGGTTGGTAGGGGCATACTTTTTCCTAAATTAATCATCCTCAACATTTGGCACATGGCCTCCTCAACGGATGACTGAATGAAATGGATATGCGTTTCAGTAACCTTGAAACGGTAATGAGTGATCAGGTGACTGTTAAATTTAGAGTAAGGCCTGAAATTTGTTATTTATAATGTAAAAACCGCTTCCATTTCTTGCGGTAGGTGAGTGAGTTTAGGTCCATCAGCGTGATTCGTGATATAATCTGATGGTTTAACCACAAGAGACGCTCCCTTATCTTTAAAATCAAATTGTTTTACTCGAGCATACTAACATAAATCTAACATTAATTTCATATGCAAAGCATGAATGTTGACAGTAGAATGTAGTCGTTCTGCTCTGTTTGGCCTAAGCCTTGCTACAATTTGAATAGACAATAAAATGTATCGTGGTGAATATCGATATTGTCTTTATCGTGCACATTTCATAGTGATTTATTCTTTTCCAAGATGCTGCTACTGGAAATCTGGATGGAAAGATGTTCTTCTCCATGTTAAAAGGGCCAGTGACTCCATCAAAAGTTATAAAGGCAAGTCTCTAGAATCAAGTGAAACTAGTGAAATTAGCATATGATTAAAAACGAATCCAAATTTGAATATAAGAAGATGAAATTTTTGCATCCTGGCCTAAGAGAAAACAAAAGTCTATAGATATGTATAGAAACCAAATATTTTTTGAGGAATTCCCTTTATTAATCAACAATCCAAATCCCCTTGTTTCTTTTTTCAAATTTAGGTAATTTTGTCTGAAAATATGAAAATAAAGAACAAATATTGCTAATTCTGTTTTGTTCAAGAGGTAATATTGTTCAAAACATCTGGTTCTCAATGCAGCTGTTCTTGATATTGCTTTTTCATACATTCTCTATTGATGCTGTGTTGTGCATTTTCTTTTGCAAAGAACACATCTTCTGAAATTTTGTAAGAACTCCTGCACATAAACTTAAACAAAACAACAATAGATGGGATGTTTGTTGTGTGGTGTAACATTTATTTGATGTCATTGTCATTAATAATTGTTGGCACTACACCTGTCTTGGGGTTCACATAATGTTTACAGGGTAAAGACATTTGACATTCTTATATAAATTTCTCCTTGGGTTTTTACAATTGTGGGCTTTGAATATTCACCACATAATACCATGAGAGAGATTGTACTTTCTTCGTATAATAATGTATATATCTTCTCTGATTCAGCCCTTTTTTGGTGTGGTGTTTCTTCCACAGCTGTTACACAATTGAAATCTTACCTCAGATATTTTTGCATAAAAATGGAAAATATTTTAAGAAAGAATAATAAAATCAGTTGTTTTCTCAAAATTTATGTATCTGTTGTAAGATTTATTAGATATACAGAGTTTATATGTAATATAAAGTTTTTAAGTTTTTCTGTATAATTACAATTCTTTGTTTACTACTGCTTCAAAGTTTTGGCAAACCTTCTAACCAGTCCAGAGGCTACAATGTTAGTTTAAAGGTAATGTGTCCAGCTTAAGCAATAAATTATGCAGGGATATTTAGAAACATGTGATTTTTCATGTCATTACTCCAGCCATTAGGGTTGCTCTGTTTATCTATCCTGCTGTGAGGTTAGCTTTTTGTGAGCAGTTTTGCATAGCAAGAATATTGACCATTCGCAAGCTGTTATTTTGATGTTACTTGGCAAGTTACCTTTAATGTTGTAGTTCTTTACTTTTATTAGCAAGACCTGTAGAAGAAAACCAGAAACTATAAGAAATACACTTGATAATAAGACATTTGGTTGTGGAATTTTATTGATTTTCAAAAGGCTTTTGATACTGTCAGTCATGAAATTTTACCGTCAAAATTGGAACACTCTGGTGTGCGTGGCTCTGCCCTTTAAATCTAATCTATCTGATAGAAAACAATATGTTTCTGTCAATGGAAGAAATTCTAACTGACTTTCACTTACTTGTGGTGTACCACAAAGTTCTGTACTTGGCCCATTACTTTTTCTTATCTACATCAATGATCCACCAAATGCTTCTTAGAAACTTATTTTTTATCTCTTTGCTTATGATACAAACATCTACTGTGAATCCAAAGATTTATCTTTTTTTCTCAACATTGTTAACAAAGAACTTAGATCAATAAAGAGATGGCTTGATGCTAACAAATGATCATTAAACATTGATAAGACAAACTATATTATCTTTCACTCTTATTTTAGGAATGTTCCTTCTGATTCTACTAAAATAGAATTAGGGAACAACATATCAAGAGAGGTAAGTTTGTTAAATTCTTAGGACTTCTCTATCTCAGTGAACTTTCAAAAAAATTAGCTTACTTCCTTATTAAAAAATAAGAAGCTTACTTCCATTAGATGTTTTACTTTGCTTGTAAAATGCTTTGTTTTTCGTTCTTCCTACAATATGGTCTTATGGTTTGGGGCCAAACATTTGCGTCATAAATAGATCCAATTTTTAAATTTCTGAAGAAAGCTGTCAGAACTATTTCATATCAGCCTCGCTTGTCACCCTCTCTTCCAATCTTTAAAGATCTTAAACTTCTCAAGCTTTCTGAGATTTTTAAACTCCGCCTATGATTCTGTTAAATCGGTGTCCCGGTGGACCAGTCCGCTTCTGCTGTTAATACAACTTCTGCTTGTTGCTTTCATAACTTCTTTTCGTTCAGCTCATCTGTTCATCAGTATTCCACAAGACAGGCCAGTCAAGTTGATCTGTACTTATCCCGTATGAACAGCCTTCAATACGGTCTAAAAGTTTTTTTTTTCTTCTTTTTTCTCATCAATGATTCAACATTTGGCGCTGTTTATATACCGAAAGGCCGCCGGTTCACACATGTTTAGAACAAAACTTGAAAAACTTGAATCTTTTTATTTTTCCCAACAATTTTAACTAATTTATCCGGGATATTGTTTCTACAATTTCTATGTTGGCTGTGTCCACTTGAACTTTTTTTTATACGGTCTAAAATCAATTCGATATCTTAGTGCTAAACTTTGGAATGAATTATCAGTTGAACTCCGAAATGCTCCTTCGCAAACATCCTTTAAAAAACAATGAAGATTTACTTATTGACCACTGTCAATCAATAACTCTAAGCTTTTTTTATATTTGCACAATTTCTATTTAATTGTATGAGAAATTAATTGCGTAAATTTTTGGAATCATTTAAATCCGGCCAAAATCATTTCTGATCATCGTAGAATTAGAGGGGGAGGGGGGCTCTCTCCTCGATTAGTTAATCTTTAAAGGGAGCTCGTCCTTTAAGTTATAACCTCCATACAATTTATCATGTTTTTCTGTATTTGCAAACTGTATTAATTTTCCTGTATCAATTTATTAATTTTCTGTAATATTGTATTATTTCCTTGAATTTAATTATTTGTTAGTATAGTAAATTATGT